CACCCTCCACCATCAGGCTCTGATTTTGTGAGTTCTGAGAGCTTATCTTAGGAGATCAGCACACGTGCATGTTTGCATACACACTGACCCTTCCCAGTAGTTCTTTGTGTGAGTCAGGCCATCTATTTTGTTAACTGTTGTGTATTGAGTCTCAGGCGGCCAGAACGGCTGAGCATAGGCAATGAGCAAAGTTCTAAATATGAAAATTTTGTGGGGGAAATACAGTGCGAAGTCTGATTTACTTGTGGCCACTTCATTGTCATTGCTGGATGAAGACACATGTCTTAAATATCATGTAGGCTCAAAAAATAAACAGTTATTTAATCAACCTCAGTCTTTAATGAGATTTTTATTTATATATTTTTAAGTAACTCTCATGGACCAAATCTGAATAGTCCTGAACTCTAGAGCAGGGAAGGAACTCGCTTGAGGGACTATTACTGTAGCTCTGTCAAGACTGACCCAAGTGTGTTGTTGGGGCATAAGCTCAAGGGGAGGTCATGAAGATGACGGCCAAATCTTCCATGATCTGCTTTCCTTAGTTAATTTAGCTCTCCACGTTAAGCTCAGCCCTCTTCTCTCCTAGCTTCCTGCTTTCACCTGTCCTCAGGGAAGGGGCCGCAGTCAGTGTAGCTCTTAAGAGTAGCTGCTTCTCAGGAGGAGACTGTTAGAAAAGAGCCACCTCCTTCCTAAGAAGTCCCAGTAGTTGAAAGAAACAGTAGTTCAGGTTTTAAATTACTTGACTATACATAACGTTTTGTAATAAGGGACTAGCTGAAGGAAGGATTGATTTTAAACTCTTTAGATTTGATCTTAACGCTAACAGGAATTTTAGAAACACAATCTCAGGATCTATGAATGATTTTAGGGAATCCCTTTCACTGGCTGAGAGAGTTTTTGCTAATCGCATTTAATCATGTAATTTAAGTAGAAAGGAAGGAAGGGAGGGAGGAAGGTAAGTAAGTAGGAAGGTGCTTGTTTGGGAGGAATGAGAAGGCAGTGGAGGAGGGAAGGAGGGAGGGAGAGAGGAAGGAAGGAAGGAAGGAAGGGAGGGAGGGAGGGGCAGGTAAAGAGGTAGGTAGGTAGGTAGGTAGGTAGGTAGGAAGGCACTTGTTTTGGGGGAATGAAAAGGCAGTCGAATTACCAGCCACCACTATTGCAGAGCCAGTATGTGCTGTGCTGCACACCAGATTCGTTTCAATACAGACATGATGACTATAATCTTAATCCTATAAAGTAGGTAGTATCGTTCCTAATTTACATTTGAGGCTATTTCAGCTCAGACTTGGCCAAGGCCTACCACTTAGGATAACCTTGCTGGGATTCACACTTCATTCAGATAGCAAGCTCCGTGCTTTTTCTACTGCTCTGCATATAGGTAGGATATTAGATAAGATGTGGACTACTTAGCATACTGGAATGAAAATTTGATATACATATTTTGTTGATAGTGAATTGCACTAGCGTTGTATGTGAATACTTGTATTTTATGGGTGGGCTACATAAACTTTATTAGGTGACTATGCAATGTTTATTTCAGATAGTGGCTGAAAAGCTACCGTCGAGCTATTCACCTGAACCATGCCCATTTCAGTACAGTAGCTCTTAACAGAGGCAGAACGTGGGTGCTGTATGTGAATGCCGAGAGGGTCTTCAGTTAAGAATTTTATTATTCTTTACAACATTATAGAGATTTTAAACTTGCCTGGATGTGTAGTATTTTTCTCACTTAGATTTTCACAGCAGCTCTGTAAACTAGGTATATCGTTGCTGTAGCCTCCCTGTTTATTATAGATTAGAAAAGTGAGCCTTGGGACAGTTAGCTCACTTATTGGAAATCATGCAGCACACCAGAACTTAAGTTCAGGTTTTCTGACCAAGATTCTGATGGTCATCTTCATTGACGTTACTCTGTGTGGTCTTTGCGTATGTCAGGACCTGATATCAGATGATATGTAATTAATTGGCTGTGGCTCCTTCAGTGTAGGCTTTGATTTCCCCCAACTTATCTGGCCACAGTTTGTCCAACTGCTTTAAAAGAGGAACTGCAGGGAAGGATGAAGCAACGCGCAAGAAAAATGAGAACACGGTTTTACCCACTGGTGTAGCTGAGCCCCTGTTCCCACCTTTCTCTGGTCCTTTTTGGGGGAAATTTTACCCCCTTTTGCCCGTAAATTGACCTTCGATTCTTCATTCTTTCTCACACCCTTTCTTCCATGAAGAAGACTTGCAGTGATGCTCAGTAGGGAGGAATCCTGGTCTGTGAAGAGTAGTGTTGTGTGGACTGTAAGAAATCATAGGAGTTTTTACTTGGGGGTAGAAGAAGAAGGAATGCAGAGGACTAAGGATCATGGAAAAGTGATGGACTGTTTAGCTGGAGTTTCGTAGCCACTCTAAAGGAAAAAATTTGCCTGCTAAAATAAAAATACTAGGGTCATGTACATACTTTTGGAATTTTATCCCACACTTAACTCTGTTCAGTTAAAATGTACATAAAGAAAGGGAGTGATAGGGCCGGCCGAGTGGCGCAATGGTTAAGAACTCGCTTGGGATGCCAGAGGGCCCCGGGGCCGCGTCCCCGCCTCGCGCGGCGCCCGGCGGCCAGGGCCCGGCGGCAGCGGCGGCGGCCGAGGCGGAGCCCGCCAAGGAGGAGCCGCTGGGCCGCTCGTCGCTGTTCCAGGACAAGGCGAACCTTTACCCGCCGAGCAACACGCCGGGCGAGGGGCTGAGCCACGGCGGCGGCCCGCGGCCCAACGGGCAGACGAAGCCGCTGCCGGCGCTGAAGCTGGCGCTGGAGTACATCGTGCCGTGCATGAACAAGCACGGCATCTGTGTGGTGGACGACTTCCTGGGCAAGGAGACCGGCCAGCAGATTGGCGAGGAGGTGCGCGCCCTGCACGACACCGGCAAGTTCACGGACGGCCAGCTGGTCAGCCAGAAGAGCGACTCGTCCAAGGACATCCGAGGCGATAAGATCACCTGGATCGAGGGCAAGGAGCCCGGCTGTGAAACCATTGGGCTGCTTATGAGCAACATGGACGACCTGATACGCCACTGTAACGGGAAGCTGGGCAACTACAAAATCAATGGCCGGACGAAAGTAAGTGTTGCTCAGGGTTTGCGCTGGACCGCCCTCCCTGGGCGGCAGCCCTCTGCGCGCGACAGGTGCCGCGTAAGGCGAGGAGCCCCGAGTCTCTATCAGAGGGGTCCCCTTGTGTAGCACCCGGTAGAGAGGACGGATGTGATCCGTCATTAGGTGGTTAGCTAGCCGGTTTCTCCCCGGCCGCTGCTTTCCACTTACTGCCCGTTTACAAATTTCTCTGTCTAATTGCGTGGGCTCGACCTTAAACTTTGCTGCCTTCTCTCTCCCATTGCATTATTACTTCAAACCCAGTTGGAGTTTTAGCCGCCCAGTGGGGAGTATTAAAGTACTACCCAAAGCAAATGCTGATTCTGCGTCTGCCCTGTGTTTGCATTCGCTCCTCCATTCTCTGTGATCTTTGAACCACTCGTCAGATTTTAACCTACAGAGTCGGATGCCGTGTTTGGTTAAGAATCTGCCCGCCGACCACAGAAAGGTAAATTTAAAATAATCATGTAGTCAAGAGCCTTCATATCAGGAAGAGCTTGGCCTCTCCCCTCCCCCTCTCCCTGTCCCTGCTGTTTTAAAATCCACTACAAAACGGGGAAAGAAGTATTTCCGTTTTCAGACCTCTCAGTTGTAGGCAGGTTACATTTTTAGCATGGGTTTCCTTCATTTGCTTTGTTAATGCAATCCCTCCGTTTTGTAGCTTCCTGGGGGAAAAAAGCATGGAATTGGAAGGGGAGGGAGGGCTCGTGAAATTGGTGAAATCTCTTTGTTTTCTCTTTACGATTGTAGTTTTTCCCTAACAGGTTCTTCAGTTCCCACCTAGTGTAATCCCTCTCCCTCCTCAGTGTGGTGAACAGTAGTAGACTCTTTCCTCCTTAATACTCTCTTGCTGTTCTTTTGCATTTTGCTTCCCAAATAGTAGGT